TAGGAGAGGAGAAGGGAGGAGAGGAGAGGAGAAGGGAGGAGAGGAGAGGAGAGGAGAAGGGAGGAGAGGAGAGGAGAAGGGAGGAGAGGAGAGGAGAGGAGAAGGGAGGAGAGGAGAAGGGAGGAGAGGAGAAGGGAGGAGAGGAGAGGGGAAGGGGAGGAGAAGGGAGGAGAGGAGAGGAGCACCTGGCACCAGAGAGGGAATCACCTTGGCTTGTGATCTGAGCTGTGCTGTTTCCCCTGCTGGGCCAGCACCTCTGTATCCCGCGGACATGCCTCCTTTTGAAGCTAGCTGAGCACACCATGCCTAACACAGACGCACCACATGAAGGGCAGCGGTTCTGAGCTGGGGTTGTTCCCAAGGAGTCAGTGGCTTTTGGCAGACATCCCGTACAGAGGCTCTCCAGCTTCCACAGCCTGGGGAGCTCCATCAGTTTATTCTGCCCTGGCCTAAGGCACTGTCTCTAAGTCCCACAGTCACACAGGCCACAGACAAAGCCCTTTTGTGAAATAATGAAACTTTGCTGCACCAAACTTAACATTCGGGTTTTTGAGTCATTAAAAAAAAAAAATAGCTTTTAGGAGTTGAGGCTAACTTAGTGAGACCCTGTCTTTAAAAAAAAAAAAAAATTAAGGGAAAAAAAATAAGGGCTGAGACTATAGCTTAGCAGTAGAGCATGTGCCTGGCATGATACACAAGGTCCTAGGTTCAATCTCCAGTATAAAAAATTAAAAAAAAGTAGGGGCTGGGGAGATGGCTCAGCGGTTAAGAGCGCTGCCTGCTCTTCCAGAGGCCCTGAGTTCAATTCCCAGCACCCACATGCAGAGAGAGCACTCATACATATAAAATAAATAAATAAATCTTAGAAAACTAGAAGTAAATAAACATTGAAGAGTTGTGCTCAGCGCCAAGCCTGCCCGGGGTCAGCCTCTGGCCCCACAGGGTGGAAGGAGAGAACCGGTCCTGCAGGTTGTCCTGTGACCTCCACACGAGTACCATGGGCTGTGCACACGCGGACATGCACAGCACATACAAACGTAATTACAGGTTTATTTTTTGAGACAGGCTTTCTCTGTGTAGCCCTGGCTGTCCTGGAACTTGCTCTGTAGACCAGGCTGGCCTCGAACTCAGAGATCCACCTGCCTCTGCTGGGATTAAAGGCTCGCGCACTGCACGGATGCCTGTGTAGAGGTGTCAGATTAGAGACAGTTGCAAGCTCCGGTGTGGATGCTGGGACCCGCACCCCAGCGCTCTCAACAGCAGAGCCGTCTCTCCAGCCCACAGTATTTTTTAAGTAAATAAAAATGTAAAAAATTAAGAGGGCTGGGGATATAGATCAGTGACACGTGTTTACTCGGAATGCAAAGGACTTGGGTTCGATCCCCAGGATCAAACGAGAACGATGTAATAAATAAATGAGAGAGCTCTTGGGTTTGAGCGGCCGGCGGCAAAGGACAGCGTGCGGTTGAGGTACACTGCCACCAGGCGGAGCCAAACTCTTCTCAAGCGACGCCTTGCGCGGTTCGCCGGGGAATCAGGGTAAAACGCAGCGTCCCTAGGTACGAGGCGAGCCTGAGCGCTTGCCTTCCCCAACTGGTCCCCAAAGGATGCTACTGCGGGGGTGAGGCGACACTGCGCTTCCGATCCTCCCGCCCCAACTCACACACGCTGGGACTGTAGGTGTGTGTCCCCGCCTCTGGTGTTCGTGCAAACGCTCTGCCAACCGAGCTACACCTCCTGCCCTGGTCTTTCTTCTTATAAGAAAGGCTAAAGAACAGACCCAGAGCCTCGAACGCAGAGTCACACTCCTAGACCACCTCAGCTCCATTCTCAACCATTTCTCTTTGGTTTTCCCCTAACAACCCTGAGATAAGAAGGAAATAGCGACCAGAGAGATGAAAGGCTTTACCTGAGACTTCCCGGCTCCTTTTGTCAGGGCCTGGACTGGCCCTGCATCCTCGCCTTTCACTACCTGCCCCCTCTCCCTGGCCCCTGCTGTGAGATTTGGTATCACGGCTTTCAGGACAAACGTAAACTCGCCAGGAACCAAAGGAGCCAACGTTTCCTTGGTCTCCAGGAAGCTGGGGCAGTTTCCCCCTTCTGCGCGCAACGCCTGCCCAGCATCAGAGCTTCGTTAAGGTGCGGGCTTGCGGCTGGAGAGGCGGCTCAGCGGTTAGGAGCTGCTCTTCCAGGGGACCCGGTTCAGCTCCCAGAGACCACAGGGCCGCTCACACAGACACCCAACGCACAGCACAGCGGCAGGGCCCGGGGAAGGGCCCCGGCGTTCGGCCTGGTTCCGGCTGCTCCCCGGCCGGAGTTCAATTCCCTGAGTGCCCGGCCCTCCTCACCTGTACATCTCCTGCCTGGCCTTCAGCTCCTCCCGGCGCTGCTGCTGGAGCTTCGGGTGCTGGTCGTCCCAGGGGACCTTGGCTGCGGCGGGGGGGCGGGGGGGATGCTCCTCTGTGGCTCCGCGCGTGCTCCCTCACCTCCCCCCGCGTCCCTCCCGGGCGCCCACGCGGGTTCGCCTCCCACGCTGCCCGCCCCGGAGCCGCGCTCACCCGCCCCCTCTCGCAGCACCAGGTCGCTCGGCCCCTGCAGCCAGCGGAAGCAGGGGAAGCGCAGGGCGGCCCCGGGCAGCCGCTCCAGCTGCAGCCAGCGGCAGAACCAGGCGTCGGGCGGGACGCGGCCCCGCGGGAGGCGCGGCTCCTTGTGCACGCGCAGCAGCAGCACGGCGCCCACGTCCCGCGGCAGCGTCACCTCGAAGTCTTCCTCCTAGGAGGGCCCGGGACAGGGCCCGGTTAGTCCGCGGGCGTCCCGGGCCCTCCCGCCCCCACGCGCGCTCCCCGGACTCACGGCGCCGGCGGCGAACTCCCTGCCGAGACGGTCCAGGGGCACGAAGGGACTCTCTCCTTCGGTTCCCACGATGCTCACGGACACTTTGTCCCACGTGCCGGCCCCGCGGGCCTCGCCGGTGGACACCCTCAGCCTGAATCTCGCCATGCTCCGGACCCGTCTGGCCCAGCGGCAGGCTGGCCCCGGGCTGGCCCGACCCCGAGGCCCCGCCCACCGCGAGGGCAGACCGCTCGCCCCGCGCCCGCCGCGTTCGTCACCGCCAGCCAGCGGGAGCCGGGGTGCGGGACTGGACCCCGGAAACGCAGTGGTGGCATTGGACAGGAAGGGGCCTGCAGCGCCCAGGGCGACTGAGACCCGGCAGGGATGTGCGCCACAAGGATTGAGTTCATTTAGGTTGCGTGCGCGGATCCACTGCCCCGTTTTCTACATCTCGGGCTACATGCGTTCTTTTCTTTTCTTTTCTTTTCTTTTCTTTTCTTTTCTTTTCTTTT